CACCGCACGCACGTGTCAGCCCTCGAGGGCCTCGAAGAGGAGGGTGCCGGCGAGCTCCTCAACGGAAAGAGCGACGAGGTCAAGACTAGCATCATGGGTCTCATGAAGCCCCTGCTGCCGCCGCCGCCCAAGGTCGTCGACGTCTTCAGGCAACCTCCACTCCTGCCCAGCTCGCCCGCCCACCTCAGCATGTGGTCGCAGCCCACCCAGCAGCCCGCCATGCCTGCCCCCGTCGACATGTGGCGGGTGCTGCCGTCGAGCCCGAGCGTCACGTCGACATCCCAGGAGTCTGCGTCGCCCATCTGGGCCAACATGGGAATGTCAGAGGTGCAACTGCCATCGCCGACGCCGGCCTACAGCCAGCCCTTCTCGTCTGCCGGTCTCTTCTACAGCTCAGCAGTCGTGACGGCGCCCATCCCTGCCCTGCCGCTGCCCAGCATGTTCGCGCCACAGTGCGGCGTCGGCATGGGCTACGGCGGCTTCGGCTGGGACAGGTACCAGGAGTATGCGACCATGACCTGACAACCACCATCGACTACTGCCGAGAGCTATCCTACGGTCACAACCTCCTCCTAATGCCTCCCCGTTCACCGGCTACCGGCAGCACGTGCAGACAGACAGACAGACAGACAGACTCTCTCCCATCCCTTGTCCACCCTCGTCGCGGCATAGAATCATCACTCTCAACCCACACAAAGGCATATCGGCGTTATTTGTTGCATCAACCAAGGAGCGGACGGTGTTCGAGGACTCGCGACCAAGCAAAATTCCCCCTCTCCCTCTTCCTTCCAATCACCGAACTGTACTGGTCCGGTTTTCTTGTTTTTTTTTGTCGAGCAACCCAAGCGAGCGTTTTCTGATTTTCTCCGTCTCTTTCCAATACCCCAGGGGACGACGATATCATCCGACGACCGCGAGCTCGGTACAGGAGAGATCTTCTTCACTCACTCACATCACACATCATGGCTGGGCCCGGGGCGGGATCATATTGAGTGCATTTACATTTGGGTATACAGGCGGATCTAGGTTGCTTCGTTTTGTCTCTCTCTCTCTGTCTTTTTGTGTCTTTCCCTTTGGGTTTTCTCATCTAAACAAGAGGAACACGCAGCAATGCGGCCCCCCCCCCCCCGCTCGGCTTCAGTCCGAGACAGCAGAAACCGACCTCGATTCCCCTTCGGTTATGGGCCTTTCGGGTGGGCCGGCTATTTCTACTTTTCTATTTTCTTCGGCTTCCCTTTGTCCCTCCCCCCTTCCCTTTTATTGGGACGGAAAGGCTTTCTTGGAGATACCCCCCTTTACAACAAAAACACCGATTGGGCGTGTTGGGCCGTCGGATCCCAGGGAGATTCCACCGCTGCTACGTCGCGCTTTCCTTCACTTCTTTCTCGGCCATTGTCCCATTTATTCTAATGGTCCTGTCTCACGGGTGATGGGCGACGATCTCTTTTCACGAGCAAAGAAAATCGGAACGAGCCTTCTTACGAAGTACGGCACATGTGTACGAGAAAGAAAACCACAAACGACGAACGCGTGCTCTCCCTCGGCTCGATGGCGGCGGCTGCGCCTTTACGCTTCTGGATTTCTTTTTTTCTTTCGTTACGATGACGACGCCATAATTCGGGGATCACGACTTTCGACACGTTCCTTTTTTCTTTTGGGCTCTCGGCGAGTTGGGGAACGGACGGCATGTTTTGCACCTCTGGACTGGACTCCGATAATGGCATTACATCCTCCTCCTCCTCTCTCTCTCTCGTGCGGAAAAGGGCCCTCGAAGCCGCAAACACCACCTCGTGGCCTCCCCTCTCCCCAAGAAAGGCAGCGCGTTTTCCCTTCTTGGCATGTGGGGGAGGCAGGCACTGGTTTGTCGACGGGAATGATTCCTTTGGCCGCTGCCGGTATCGTCTCCTGGGAGATGGAGCCGGCTGACATGGAAGGACGATGGTGAAGGAACACTGAGCGGGGATCTTACTTCATCCATCTCTTGGAAGAAGAAGAAAGCTGGGCATCAGAACTTGGAGACGTCCAACACTTACTCTGCAGGATCAGAGAAGCGCAGACAATGATGCGGAGGCCCTTTCGCTGCCATAGTCTCGCAACTCGGGCGCCGGAGACCGACGGATCTGCGTGGGCTGCGCCGCGTGGGCGTACGGCCTTGACTCTCTTACACTGGCGCTGTGCTGATTACCCTGTTCTCCTGGTTGTGATACCGCCAGACGGATCACGTAGGGCGGAGCGGGGGTCACTGCATGCTGCTGCCATGTGCGGGAGGGCCCAGGTGCGGCGCGCCCGGGTAGGTGGCCTCGCAGATCCTGAGATTACGGGACGTACCGAAACGAGACGACATGTAGTTTCGCCACCCTACATGCCCCGTCGCTGGACACACATTCTTCACCCTCATGGGGGTGCCCAGTCCGCGACGAGGGAAGCCGTAAGGGTGGGTGGGTAAAGGTTCTCTCCAGCCTTCTCCGAACAAAACATGCGTCTACGCTGTGCGAAGACGCATCGTTCGGAAGGGGTTGGTGATATCTTTCCCACCCTTCCTTCAGGACGAGGAGAGACGCTCTTTCTCTTCGTCCTGCGGCAGGAAATGGCGCTGGACACACATACGAAACAACTATCTGGCGAGAAAACGCGGCGCGGAGCCAACGGCAGGGGTGGCGGCTTCGGACACTCCTGGTGAGTGGACGGCTGCCGTGCCCTCCGGCCGGTCAACCGCGCGCGCGTGGGGACGAGGCAAAGGCTGCGCCGAGGCCTGGTGGACTGATATCTACTCTTGTCGATGCCTGTTTTTAACGCTT